AAATAATCTGTGCGCTTTTGCTGGTAATGGGGGGAAAGGCAGACTGGATCCTCAGGAAAGGAGGCAGAGACAGCAGGGCAGGAAGGACTGAGCGCAGCGTGGGGCCTGCTCACTGCCCGCGACGGCGCGAGCCCCGCGCTCCTGGCGGGAAGGCAGGGCCCCCGCCGCGGACGAGGGCCCGGGAGCGCGGCAAGGGCACACGTGGCGGCCGGCCGCGGACGAGGGCCCGGGAGCGCGGCAAGGGCAGGGCCCCCCGCCGCGGACGAGGGCCCGGGAGCGCGGCAAAGGCAGGGCCCCCCGGCCGTGGATGAGGGCCCGGGAGCGCGGCAAGGGCAGGGCCCCCCGCCGCCAGCAGTTACACGTGGCGGGCTGGGCAAGAACCCTGCACAGAGGGGGACACAGTGAAGCTTCCTTCCGAAGCACGGGGCACTACCCTATTTCTAGTGGTGAAGATCTGAGGGATTCACGTCAGAAAAGAACTTAGGACATAATTATACCCACAGGGCAAAACAATGTCAGCAATTGCGACTTCAAATTCAAAGCAAAAATTTATGCACAGATATAATCAACCATAAAATTGCCTCTCATATACATAGCAGGTAGTCGTGGCTGTTCAGCCTGCTATTGAAACCAAATTCAGAAAGAAAAACTTTCCTGATTTGGTCTTTTGATTATTTTGGCCAAAAGAAAGCAAAAACAAACATTCTCTTCCAGGAAACCTACTTATTTTTTTCACCACAACAGAAAAATCTCCACATAGAAATGTTTCGGCTACACTTTCTCCTTTCGGGTGTAGGATGGGCTCTGGACATGAAAGCTTATATTTCTTTCCTCAGTGACACAGTCACCTCCACTCTTTTGCTCCACCGTTTTCTCAATCAGCTGTCTCCCGTAATGACAGGGTTGCGCACTAGCCCTGCAGTCTAGGGATCCTAGTGTCAATGTGACTGGAAACAGGAAAGATAATGACTCAATTATGGGAATAACTTTATAGAATCTGAGTAGAATTTTATCCTTTATTCATTCTTAGACAATTTCATTGTACTCAAAGGAGATTTGATGAGTGACTTAAAAGGAACACCACCCAAGAGTTAGGATTTAATTGTAACCTAATTTATATTTCAAATGCAGAATCAAATTCAATATATTTTGCTATCCTTGGGAATGAAATTTCATTGTATGTTTTTATTTTAGCTGGGGAGACCAAGACAGCTGACAGGTGCTCATGCAGGAGGAAGACCAGTCCTGTTCCAGCTCTTCAGATGCTGCCGGATTCACTAAGATGAATCTTGCTTTGATAGTTTTCCTGCAAAAATAAAACATGTTAGATCTTCCTCAACTACTTCCTCAACTCCTTACCCTAGGAGTTGGAATATGCCTTTGTCTTCCTTTTCTAGCTTTGTATTAGTTCTATGGCCACTTAAAAAATGACCTCACATTTAGTGCTTAAATAACAAACATCATCTTGGTTTCTTTGAGTCAGTAGTCTGGGCCTGGCTCCTGGCCTCGCACAGGCTGCAGGCATCTGGCAGTCCCAGCGCGGACGCCTTCCACGCGCGCACTGCTGGCAGGGCCCAGTTCTCTGTGCCTGTAGAGCAAGGGCATCTGCTCCGTGTTCAGTTGTTGGCTGGAAATCTCCATTTCTTGTCACATGGGCCTTTGCATAGAGCATCTCACCACCAGAGCAAGGAAGAATGAAAGAAAGAGTGGGCAAGGCAAACAGAAGCCAGAGTGTCCTTCTGTCACGCAGGAGTGACATCTGTCACTTTTGCCATATAATACTCACTGGAAGCAGGTCACCAGGTCCAGCATATCAGCAGGCAGGGATCACTGGGAACCATCTTAGAAGCTACTTACCACTAGCTTTGTTTGTTTTAATATTAGAGCTAACGAGTAAGGAAATAAGACTACCTTAACACTGAATTTGCAAGGCACAGGGCCTATAGGCTATATATTTGAGCCAGTTGCAACAAGTTCACTCTGTTCCTTGTGCTCATTTTCAGAGCTAAATTGTCTTATGCAGTTTACATATTACAGTGATAACTCAAGGATACAGAAAGAACTCCCCTACTATTCAAACATGATGTCAACCTTTTAGTTCAAAATTTGTGAATACTTCTCTAAAATACCTTTTAATATAATAGGACAATGTTATCAATGGAAGAATAAAACTAGACCTGAAAAGCATGGTTTAACACTTAGATTTCTGATGAAAATTTCTTCTAGTAACCAGCAGCTACTCAAAATGTTTCTCTGAAGTATGCACTGGCTCAGAGGCCTAATGGCCTCAGATATTGTGGAGTATGACAGAGTTTGGAAGGTGAGAGCACTTTTAAATAAAACCTGTTCCTCGATCCTAAGTTACATTAAGTAAAATTGCTCTGTAACTATCTGCAGAGACAGAGCAGTGGTAACTACCATTTTTCTTCTTCCTTTGCTTTCCCTTCATCCATTTTTACTAAGCTATGCCCATGGTGGATGCCTTCCACATCTCCGAAGGACAGGTTGGCTCTGACAGCCCACAGAGTGTGCAAGTCTTCACTGCATCTTTCGTGACTGGACACAGTGCAATGCATCATCAGGCAATCTAATACAAAACGCATTTTTAAAAATTTTAGGTTGGTGCAAAAGTAATTGCAGTTTTGGACAGTAAATTTTAAATCATTATAACTAGACTCAAACACATCTTTTTTTTTTTTTTTTTTTTTGAGACAGAGTCTTCCTCTGTTGCCTGGTCTAGAGTGCCGTGGTGTCAGCCTAGCTCACAGCAACCTCAGACTCCTGGGCTCAAGCGATCCTTCTGCCTCAGCCTCCCAAGGAGCTGCGACTATAGGCATGCCTACAGTCGCCAGGCCACCATGCCTGGCTAATTTTTTCTATATATTTTTAGTTGGCCAGCTAATTTCTAATATAGGCATGCCTATAGTCGCCAGCCACCATGCCTGGCTAATTTTTTCTATATATTTTTAGTTGGCCAGCTAATTTCTATTTTTAGTAGACATGGGGTCTTGCTCTTGTTCAGGCTGGTCTTGAACTCCTGACCTTGAGCGATCCTCCCATCTTGGCCTCCCAGAGTGCTAAGAGTACAGGCGGGAGCCACCATACCTGGCCTATCAAACACATCTTTATTAATCAAAATAGGAACCATTACAATGAACACATTTTTGCCAACGAGAAATAAGTTTGTTTACTCCTATAGAATAAGAATCTGTGCTTTGGGATTTGATGAACTCTTGGAAAGCATTTTCTGCATCCTACTGGTTGTGGAAGTGTTTTCCCTGCAAAAAGTTGTTGAGATGCATGAAGTGGTGGTTGGTTGGCAAGAGGCCAGGTGAATGTGGTGGATGAGGCAAAACTTCATTGCTCAATTCATTCAACTTCTGAAGCGCTGGCTGTGCAATGAGCAGTGCTGTCGTGGAGAAGAATCGGGCCCTTTCTGTTGACCGATGCGGCTGCAAGTATCCCAGCTTTCAGTGCGTCTCATGGATTTGCTGAGCACACTTCTCAGACATAATGGTTTCGCTGGGATTCAGAAAGCTGTAGTTGATCAGACCAATAGCAGACCATCAAACAGTGACCCATGACCCTTTTTGGTGCAAATTTGGCTTTGGGACGTGCTTTGGAGCTTCTTGGTTAACCACTGAGTTGGTCATCGCAGGTTGTTGTATACAGTCCACTTTTTGTCACACGTCACAATCCAACTGAGAAATGGTTCGTTATCGCACATAAGAGAAGACGACACTTCAAGACGACGATTTTTGGTCAGCTCAGGAGGTACCCATTTATTGAGCTTTTTCACCTTTCCAACTTGCTTCAAATGCCGAACAACCGTAGAATGGTTGATGTTGAGTTCTTTGGCAACTTCTTGTGTAGTTCTAAAAGGATCAGCTTCAATGATGGCTCTCAATTGGTTGTTGTCAACTTCGGATGGCCGGCCACTGCACTCATCTTAAGGTTAAGGTTCTCATCTCCTTTGCAAAACTTCTTGAACCACCACTGCGCTGCATGTTCATGAGCAGCTCCTGGGCCGAGTGCGCTGCTGCTGTTGGAGTTGTCTCTGCTGCTTTACAACCCATTTTGAACTCAAATAAGAAAATTGCTCTTGCTGCACTTCTGGCCCAGGGGGCCAAAAAAGAAAAAAAAAGAAAAATAAACAAAAATTTTTTGAATAATAAAATGTAAAAAAAAAAGGAAAATTGCTCGAATTTGCTTTTTGTCTAACATTATTTCCATAGTCTAAAATACATATAAAATAAACAGGAAGTAATATATCAGCAAAAAATAAAGTAATAAATGCACATTAAAATGATGTATAACATAATCACATTTAATAATGTATTCCAGTATCGAATGGGAAATTTAACCAATGCTAAAAACCGCAATTACTTTTGCACTAAGCTAATAGTTCATGTGCACTTAAAGGTTAATTAATCTGAAATCATAAGCTGGTTCTAAGTGTAATAACACAAGGTTGCTTTTATTTTTTGTCATAACTATGCTTATTTTATTTTGGAAGCTAGTGAATAGAGAAAATACCAATTTTGCCCTGGAAAGAAATACAGATTCTGCTGCCAAAAGTGGTCTAAATTCTATGGAACTTCCAGAGACTTTAGAAATGAAAGCAAACAAGGAACTCTAAACACAAGTTTTTAATTCCAGGTCAAGGTTCAAAATTCTTTTCTGTAAAGTGTCAAATCTAGGATTAAGCATATGAGGATTCATATATATATATATTTTTTTTTTTTTGAGAAATTTACTCTACATAGTACATATTAAACATACACCCTAGTCATCAGCTTCTTGGGCTTTTGTAGTCATTAAATAAATTGCAGAAATATATTTAAAAAGTTAATAAAACAAATTCAGAATTTTAAGTTGTTATTAGTAGAGGTATATAAAACGTAGATAACTGATTTTGCAGGAAACTAAAAGAGATATCCCAGGTCACTTTTTCATTTATTTTGGCTCAGAACTCAAATCATTCTCTGAAACTCAAGAGATATAGCACACAAATGTTTAATTTCTAGGGTATACATTGTTTCTTTTAGATTTAAAAAAAGATCACAAAAGCAAAAACACAGAAGCTCTGTCTAGTATCAAGCCTATACACTGTTAACAAACATTGTTTATTAAGAATTCACAGTAATTGTCTTGCAGAGTTTTCAGGTGCCAAGAAATCATGGCAACAAAACTGTAAAATAACACAGTATTATGTACATAAAGAAAAAAAGGTGAAATATAATGTTTTGAAAAAAACTATTATAGAATAAATTACATTTTAAATCAGCATGATTGACAAGCTTACATGAAACATCTGGGCTGCTATTTAGACTGCTTAACTTTTACAATTTTTAGCTGGGAAAAGCAACAAGACAGCAAAAACAAACAAAGAGTGCTGGGCTAGGAGTTCTGAGACATGGGTACTCACTTTACTTCTTTGGGTTCCAGTCTTCTCATTAATAAAGTTGGAACAGATCATCTTCCTTGGATCTTTAAAAACACCAAAAACTCAAAGTTCCTTTTGGGTCTAATCAGTGTGATTCAAGGCATATTATTTTTTGTATTTGTGATAAAGTAACATGAACAATATAGCAGATGTCACTTTGCAATACGAGCATAATCTCCTTTAATTGAGAATTATTCCTGCAATCACAACCAGGCTTTCCCCACCCCACGCTCCTGAAACAAGGAGACATACTTATCAGACGAGAGCAGAACTATAGAAACGTTCGGAGGCAGACATTTAGGAGGTTCTTTTGATGCCTAATAATTACATGGCACCTGACACTGACAGAAGCGCTGTTAAAGGAGCCTCTTATATCTCTTTCGTGATATGAAATGTGAAAACTTTTTGCTTTTTGTTAAACCTTTCGATTTAATATTCCGCCACCCCTAAAGAAATAACACACTTCAGTCCTATATACTTCAGAATTTGGGATTAGAAGCTTTTAATTTGTGCGATTAATTTGTGGGCACTTGGGGGTTGATATTTTGTGTTAAATTTGGAATGAAAGATAATGATGACAATATTATAGAGCTAGATGTCCTTTATGCTGTTTTGGAATTGATGGCTAAATTTCATGTCTTCCATTACTTAAATTTATGGCTTTCACTTTAGTAAACAATTTGTAAAGTTAACCCACTAATCTCAAAGACTATATATGCAGCAATAAGCATTATTCTGGTAATAATGCCTAGAATTTATTAGTTACATTCTCTGTTTCCTAAATATAGACAAAATGTTTGACTACAAAATAAATGAGATCTAATACCCACCTATATAGTTCAATGAAGGCATGTAACATCTGCAGTCTAAGGTAGGCTTAGTTATTGATCATCTGCTTCTTTAGGTCTGTCCCTGAAAACAGACTGAGCAGAAACCAGTGTTCCTGGACTACATTAAATCATGCCTTCTCTTGATTTGCCACTATGACTTTTCTCTGCATTTGGCATCTTTTTTAAATTCTGAAGAAATGTTATCCTATATAAAAACCCTCATGCTTTAGTTCAAGAGAAAACTAGCTTGCTTTTGCAGATATGTTTGTTTTCTACTGTGAAAAGCAGTAACTCTCTTTTTTTTTAGCAGTCAAAAAATTTAGAACCAAATTTATTGTCCAAGCTTTACTTGCTGAGTTGAATGAAACCACGTACTTCTGTGCTGTTTTACCGTTAAATCTTCTTTAAAGGCTCTGTATTTTGTAGGCCTCTTCACGACCTTTTAAAAGAAAACAGGAAACAAATTTCAAAAATAAAAATATAGTTACAAATGACTATAGATAATATATTTAAGCATAGTATATTATTTTCTACTGTAATCTAGAGGTTAAAAAGGGATTTAACAGCTATTTTTATAACAGACATAATTTCACATTGAAAATACGCTAATTTCCCTTTCATTGTCATGAAGAGTGAGATAATAGTTGTTATATTAAGTATTCCTTATGCTGTTCAAATGTTGGCTGGCATAAGTTACCTATAAAATGCCTATTCGACATAACTATTGAAAGAACTTAACCGTCTGTGGTATTACTTCATTGAACACTATATTCATGAAGTCTTTTTTTTTTTGAGACAGAGTCTCACTCTAGCCATGGCGTCAGCCTAGCTTACAGCAACCTTAAACTCCTGGGCTCAAGCAATCCTTCATGAAGTCTTTTTAATCTTTCCAAGTTGTATTTTTAAAACAGGAAATTATCCTAATTTTTAAACAAATTTAAATCATGAATATATTATGAGGTTTTCTTATCTCCTGAATATTACCTACTTTGTTAAAAATTAAAAAATTTGATATAAGAAACATTTTGACACATAAACAGTGTTATATGTATATCATATTTAAGGTCAGTTTTTGCTAATCTATGAAAACACATATATGTAATATTTAAAAGAGTTAATGAAATTCAGTGCAACTTCAACTTCTCATTTCATTGAGAGTTTACTACAAAAAATATAGGAAGTGAGAATTTACCTCCTTTAAATGGCATGTCTGTATTAGTTACAATTTGACAAATGAATTCCTTTCCATATATATCTTAAGATCCAAAATCTCAGTGCCACAAATAACATGATTGAAGGATCATGTATAATGTATATTTTAATATATAATTTATGTGGAGATTTAGAGCAATAAATTTCACACAGTGAAAAATTTTTCATAAACTAAATATAGTAACAAAAGGAAAGTAAAGGTTATGTATACATCATCAAGGTCTTTACAGTAAGTTATAGTGTATAGTTCCATTATAGCATATTTGTACACAAAGCCCTTATTGTGAACACTGAAAGAAGTCTGTCATTAGGTCTTAAATCTCGATTTAATAAAGTTTATAGAGTATCAAATAATATCAAAGGTCTAAAAAAAACACAATGAAATTTTATATTATGTTTATGGTATGTAAAACAATAAAAAAAGGTTTATGAAGGAAACCTTAAAAAAAGGTCAAAAAGTGGTTTAAAAAAAAGTAGAAGTTATTATTCTTGATGAGAGCTGGAAAAATGTATTGTCCCAAGTAGGAAACAATCTAAAGGCCATTCAGTTTCTCAGAAATTTTCCTTTAACTCTCATATAACCTTGGTTAGCATATGCCATAAGACAAGCTAATACAAAGGGAGCCAAGTAATCATTTTGCAAAAATAATAGAAAACACAGTCTCGTGATGAGAAACATTGGAAATAAACATAATTACAGGCCTTCCCAAAGGTGAATTAAATGGCTCTGTTTACAGAAAAGAATGGGCTGTCATGCATATGACCAAACTTGCCAGATTTCAAAGGCTTGCCAGTTTTTTTTTTTTTTTTTAAAGATAGCCTCGCTCTGTCAACCCCAGTAGAGTATAGTGGCATCATCATAGCTCACAGCAACCTCAAACTCCTGGGCTCAAGCAATCCTCCCACCTCAGCCTCCCAAGGGGCTGGGACTACAAGTGCTCGCCACAACACCCAGCTAATTTTTCTATTTTCAGTAGAGAAAGGGTCTCATTCTTGCTCAGGCTGGTCTTGAACTCCTGAGCTCAAGCAATCCCCTGACCTTGGCCTCCCTGAGTGCTAGGATTACAGGTGGGAGCCACTGCGACAGGCCCAGAAGTTTTCAAATTTTTAGTCATAAATGGCAATGGTGCATACATCACAGGATTATGTAATTTTCTAGTATAACTAAGACAAAATATGATTTAAAGGTGATAAATCATATCATCTACTACTTCTCATAGAGAATAAAGACTAAGGATCCAGAAGTACAGAAAATAGTCCAGAAGAAACAGATGGATGAACCATAACTGGGTCTTCATTGGCACAGTAACTAGCTATATTTTGACAAGTTCAAACAAATGCCTACACTGAAGTATGTGGTATATTAACCAACTTAGATTTATGTAAGAAACTGAAATAGTAAAACAATAGGCTTATAAAACAAATTAGAGAAAAGAAAAATAAAATGCATGTAAAGAAGAATATTATTTTTGAGTTTATTGTGTGATGAAAATATTGACAGAGCTAGATTAGCCAAGAGCAGAATTCCTGATGCTGAAATTAATAGGCAGCCTGAACCGTGCGTGAGTGGTTCAGCAAAAGCACTTCGCTCTTCAAATGCTATTTAACTGGTGGTGCTTTCTTTGTATGATGCCAGGCAACAGATGATTATTATTTTTTCTACTGAATATAGTAAGCTTCTTGGTTGGTTTAACACATAAAGACTGCCCAAGAGAGAATAAAAACATATCATTACAGGAGGTTAAGGGTAAATAAAGGTCTTCCTAGTTTTGACAGGAAAAAAGGGTTGGCTGTGGAAAACAGCATGGGTGTTTTGTAGGGGGCATAGACATACTAAATAATTAACATCACCTTTAGTGGAAGATTAAAAGTCGATGGATATGGATGCTTGTGCAGAATCTTCTCTCCCCCTGGCGTAAATTTCACAAGGAATCTCCTCCATTACTCTGTCTTCTAGGGCCTGGTCGGGGCACTCATGTGCCTGTTTGAAGGTGTAGCTGCTTTTCTTGAAGGTGCTATTGAATGTTTTCATGGGCTGTGGTTGTGCAAAGTCATTTCGGAAAGGAAGCTCCATGGAACTGAGGTTGGTCCTGCTCTGTTTGACACTGGGCGCTTGCGCCCCACAGTGATGGTCGTGGACACACCGGGAGGCAGTGGAGGAGCGCCGCATCCTCTGGTAGCTGTCCAGCTCTTCCGACAAGTCTGCCAGGTCTGCAGAAATCTCTTTGTCCCTTAGTGAAAATAGTTCATAATGAGGAGGATCAAACACTTCTTGGAACCCAGTTTTATTAAAAGCAGTTTTGCAAGCCATGACCTTTTTTCGAGGCTGTTTCACTTGTACTAAAATAGAAATAATGAGAAGGACCAAGACAATCCCTGATGTAATGCCAATAATTGTTCCATGAGTTTTAGTGATTTGTTCAAATAGTCCTGATTTTTTCTTTTCTGTGGAAAGAGAAAGAGAAATATTAAGGTTTTCAAAATTCATTAATAAGAGTCCTGGCACAGATTGAAAGGTTATTTATAGGTGTAAAGCAGAATGCTTGGGTCAAATATACACAGACAATGAAATTTACAATTAGGTTTTTAAACAAGTAAAACAATTATTACATTTTCTATTTTGACTTCTGGTTAAAGCCACCAATCACAACATAGCCAGACAGATTACATGAAAGATAAAGTTCTTGGTTCCTTTATCCAGAAGATACATGGATGCATATGATTTGCAAATCAAATCAAATACATAAATACAGAATGCCAAAATAAATACTTTCATTCAATCAAGTTTTAGCTATCTACTCTATGGTAGGTTTGAGCAACTGCCATGCTTAAGAATATCCATAATATTTTTACTGATGGACACCAGGAAGAGAGAACTAACATGACTAGACTAACCCACTCAGGTATATTATCATGGTCTACTGGTTTTGAATGACTATCTAAAAATACTTCATCTCAAGTATTTAAGACAGCCCTTCCTGTTGTATATTGGTTTTGGAGGAAAAGAAAAAAAAAGAAAGAAATAAAGAATAAAAAATTAAGAGTATTTAATTAAAAAATAAGACAGCTTTATCAGATTAGATCACCTTTTTTTACTAAGATATTTATTGAACTCTTAGAAGATAAAAGGCAGATAAACTACTTCTGAGACAGTGATTTACCGACCAGCTTGCAGACATTCGGCTATGACCACAAGCCATATTTACCTTTCACAGAGTACATACTGGGAATATAGCATAGAAAACTTACTGAAATTTTCTAAAAAAGCAGTTCCTAGAATAGGTCTACTTTTACATTGCAAGACTGAATCTGTCAGTTGATTTTGATTAAAGTTTCCAGATATTAATAATTTAAAAAAGAACAATACTCCAGGCTAACATCTAAATTATTTTGATAACTAAATAAGATATCTTTATAATACAAATGACAAACTTCAGTAAAAGTAAGAAAATAAGGGCAGGAAATATGATACATTTCTGAACAACTTAAGGTAAAAAACAGTTTGTAAACAAAAATTGGTTTCATTGAGAATAAGTATTTTTCTTTGCTTTTACCACATCCTAGAGGTTCACGATCCATTTAAAAGAGCACATATATGCTTTCATTTCTGCCAAAGCAGTTATGCTAAGCAGTTACAGAAAAGAGCATTTTAAGTCTTTCTCGGTGAAAGGCAACAGCCATTTTTTTTTTCAAAAAGGCTTGCCTTTACACTGGACTCACCTTTACAATGGTTTTCATCCCAAGGGTAGGCACAGTTCTGAACTCCATTACAGACTAAAGAATTATTGATGCACATGTTGCTATGGCAGAAGAAAGTGCTGCCTGTGCAGGGAGCTGAAGGAAAAGAGAAAACTGTGTTGCTCACAATAGACATACAGATTATAGACTTATTTATTTTACACTTAAGAATGTGACTTTATGAACAATTTCTTAACTCAAAGGCCTTTCCATGAATATACTCTGTACTACACAAACAATAAGAAAAACATCAGTGTTCTCTGATGCTGGCTCATACAAAATTTTTCTTATGCTAGTCACCTAAAGGTCATTTTTCATGTGCTGACAATATGAATGTGTTTCTCATGGTTCTTATGGAACTGGTATATAATCTGGTAAATGTTTTCAAGACTTTAAAAGACAGTGTTGGCAAGAATGTAAAGACACTGAAACCCTTGTGTACTGGTACTGGGAATGTAAAATGGTGTAGGAATTGTGGGAAATTGGGAGCTCCTCAAAAAGTTAAACAGATTGTTGTTGCATAGATCCAACAATTTTACTTTTAGATATATGCCCCAAAGCAGGAAAGCAGGAAATCAAACAGATAACTTGCATACTAATGTTTACGGCAGCATCATTCACAATAGCCAAAAGGTTGAAACAACCAAAACGCCCATCAATAATGAATGAATGGATAAACAAAATGTGGTATCTATAAGACAATGGAATATTATTCAGTCATAAGAAGAAATGATATTCTCATACATAATACAACATGTATGAAGCCTGAAAACATTATACTAAGTGAAATAAGCCAAATATTTCACTTAGCATAATTATTGTATCATTATGGATTAAGTACTGTCTGAGAAATATCATGATTCCACTTATATGAGGCAAATTCATTGAGACAGAAAGTGGAATAGAGGTTACCAGGGTCTGGAAAGAGGGAGAAAAGGGAAGTTAGTATTTAATGGGTACTTGGAGTAAGTTTGGGATGATAAAAACATTCTAGAGATGGATGGTGGTGATGGTTGCACAAAAGTGTGAATGTATTAGTGCTACTGAACTGTGCAATTAAAATGGTTTAAATGTTAACCATTTATTTTACCATGATTAAAAACCGAAAAAACCCACTCTTCTGAATTAAAATAAATAAATAAATAAATTTATTTTTGAGACAGAGTCTCACTCTGTTGCCTAGGGTAGAGTGCCATGGCATCAGCCTAGCTCACAGCAACCTCAAACTCCTGGGCTCAAGCAATCCTCCTGCCTCAGCCTCCCGAGTAGCTGGGACTACAGGCATGCGCTACCATGCCTGGCTAACTTTTTCTATATATTTTAAGTTGGCCAATTAATTTCTTTCTATATTTAGTAGAGACAGGGTCTCACTCTTGCTCAGGCTGGTTTCGAACTCATGATCTCGAGTGATCCTCCCATCTTAGCCTCCCAGGGTGCTAGGATTACAAACGTGAGCCACCAACGGCCGGCCCTAAAAAATAATTTTAAAAGATAATAAAGTTATATGGAGTATATACCATGTAATTTCATATTTTATATAAATTGTTCTTTTAGCCTGGAATGTCTCCTTCTTTCCTTTCATGGTGGCTCCTATGCACCTCAGATATATCAGCGTAAAGAAACAAACAAACAAAAATCTGAAGGTCCAGAAGTAAGGCAGCTTAATATTTCCTCCCATTAAACAAGATTATAGAGATGTAACAGAAGCTCAAAAACCCACCTAACAATTCTGACTTCTAAGATTATACTTGGATAAAATATATTTCCTGCCTAAAAGACACTATAGTTTTGATTTACAGAAAATATGTGCTTCATCAATGAAGGAGAATTGAGTTTTGCTCTATATTATATTGATATATCTCAAATATTTTTTATATTTTCTTTTAAAAATTCCTTTTCAAGTTACAATTAGTATCTAAAATTTTAATGGACAGAGCCAGGCATGTATAGTCCCAGCTATTCAGGAGGCTGAGGCAGGAGGATCCCTTGAGCCCAGGAGTTCAAAGATGCAGTGAGCTGTCATCATGCCACTGCACTTCAGCCTGGGTGAAAGAGCGAGATCCCGCCTCTTAACATTTTTTTAGCTCAGGAGTCCGAGACCAGCCAGAGCAAGAGCAAGACTCTGTCTCTACTAACAATACAAAGAAATTAATTGGCCAACTAAAAATATAAATAAAAAATTAGCCGGCCATGGTGGCGCATGCCTGTAGTCCCAGCTACTCCAGAGGCTGAGGCAGGAGGATCACTTGAAGCCAGGAGTTTGAGGTTGCTGTGAGCTAGCCTGATGCCATGGCACTCTAGCCCAGGCAACAGAGTAAAACTCTGTCTCCAAAGAAAACAACAACAACAACAACAACAACAACAACAACAAAGCAACAACAACAAAATTTTTTTTAAAAACTGGGAAATACTGCTGTGGTAGGTAAGCAAAAATAAAATAAAAAAAAATAAAAGTTTACTGAACAAGTAGGATTTTCCCCCTAAGTATTATAATATTTTTCACTTAATATACAATGAACCTCATTAAGAAAACAGCCATGAGTTTCATATTCAAACTCAAAAATATGAGTTTCATATTTTTTTCCCTTCAAAGATAAGATTCTCTCTTTAGGGTACAGTCATAAGAAGTTTTGAAATACATGACCGCATTTTCCAACTGCAGTAGATTATTATTATTGTTATTATTATCTTCTGAGACAGAGTCTCACTCTGCTGCCTGGGCTAGAGTGCCGTGGCATCGGCCTGGTCACAGTAACCTCAGACTCCAAGGCTTAAGCAATCCTCCTGCCTCACTCAGCCTCCTGAGTTGCTGGGACTACAGGCACGTGCCACCATGCCCAGCTAAGTTTTTCTATTTTTTGGTTCAGACGGGGTCTCGCTCTTGCTCAGGCTGCTTTCAAACTCCTGACCTTGAGCGATCCTCTCGCCTCAGCCTCCCAGAGTGCTGGGATTACAGGCGTGAGCCACCGCGCCCGGCCTAGCTAAGGAGATGTTTCGAAGTAGGTCCTAGAGCCTTTAAAATAACCATTCTTTAAAGAATTATCTCCCCATTGATCACCATTACTTCAAGAATGGTGGCCCCTTTCACCATCCTTTCAGGAATAATATTTTGGAGCTGGCCTTTGTGAGAGGTGGAAAGTGCGAGTCCCGTGTCCCCCCTTCCCTCTAGCTGGTTATCCTCAGAGATGAGAAGTGCGCATGCGCAAGATGGGTGAACAGTGCGCATCCTGTTTCAGTCTACTTATCCCCACTTTTCACCCTCCTCTTCGGACTGGTTTGATGACTCAGCCAGGAAGGGAAAACAGTGCTATATTATTATAATAGTACTAAAGCTGGCATTTTTCTACCCCCTGCCTTACCCACTTTGGGTATTTTCCAATTGGCTCTGAACATGGAAAAACAGGTCCCCAGAAAATCCCTAAACATAATCTGATAAATGTAGGTCAACACAGAGTATCCAAAACTGCTTTCTATTAGAATACAAAAATAATTTTTCTTTAATATCCTATGAGGTTATTATTTGCCCAAGTTCCAGTCTAACAGGTTGATAATCTACAGTCATTATGAACTAGGGTTTGTTTATCGCTTCGCCCTCCCCACCGTAAACCAACTTACAGGTGAATTTAGGCATGATTTGTTTATCTATATACAATTAAAGAGTCTTTGCACTAAACTTATAAGCTGGTTTGTTTGCTGAGTACTTGGCTACCACAGTTCAAAGATAACTCCCAGGTGGCTTTCAAGACTGAAGAGTCTAAAATAGTTGAGTGAGTAATGCAGGCAACAGTGCTGTACAGCAGAAAATAGAAAAAACAAGGGCCTAGTAATCAATATAAATTGTTTCTGTTATCGGCTCATCTGTATACGTGAAGGCATTTAACAGGGGCCTCACCTTCATCATTTGAAATGAATGGGATGGAGCACAGTGTATCTCAGGTTCTATAATTTGATGAGACTTTGAAATTAGCACTCTCAATCATATTTTTGTTCTTAATCTAAGTGCAAAAAGATGTACATAATTAATAAGTAATTTATTTTTTATTGTAATTTTTTTAAAAAATTGAGACAGAGTCTCACTCTGTTGTCTGGGTAGAGTGCAGTGGTGTCATCATAGCTCACTGCAACCTCACAGCAACCCCCAACTCCTGGCTCAGGTGATCCTGCCTCAGTCTCCCAATAAGCTGGGACTACAGGCATATACCATAATGCCCAGCTAATTTTTTTATTTTAATTTTTTGTAGAGACGAGGTCTCACTGTTGCCTAGGCTGGCCTTAAATTCCTGGCCTGAAGTGATTCACCTGCTTCCCAAAGTGCTAGGGTTATAGGTGTGAGCCACCACGCCCGGCCCTAATAATTTACTCAATGACAGTTAAGCTATTCAAATAATTACTTCATTATTCTTAGAAAACAATGATGGTTTCAAAGCTCCTCATAAGGAAAGTATGTATTAGTTACATAAACAAGCCATCAGACTGAGGGCAGGGAATGAAGATGTATGGTGGTTTCATTTACTTTACAAAATTAGTGAACCTACTACTTCATTAGTGTCTTGGATATCATAAATGATATTATACAAATGGAGGTACTTTAAAATATAAAAAATGGCCTAGAGAAACACATAGCATTTTTTGAGTTCCTCATTTCTACGAACTGGAGTTTTCTGTTTTTATTTGTATAGCACACCATAATTTCATCACATAAAATATCACATTACATACTGTATTCTAATTCTACTACCTATTTTATCTAGCTCACAAATGAGGATGCAGGGAATAAGCGATTTTTAAGTAGAATAAGGCTATAATTAGCACTCTGGCTCCTTGGCATTCTCATTTTCTAAATAAAACTATCATTAGTTTTTTTTTTTTTTTTTTTTTTTTTTTCTGCATTTTTTTTTTATTTTTTTTTTTTTTTTGAGACAGGGCTAAAGGGCCGTCCACAGAGACAGGGCTCTGTTGCCCGGGCTAGAGTGCAGTGGTAGCACCATAGCTCAACTGCACCTCAAACTCCTGGGCTCAAGCGATCCTCCTGCCTCAGCCTCCCTAATAGCTGGGACTAGAGGCGCTTGCTACCCTGGCTAATTTTTTTTTTTCTT